ACAAAAATAAATATTATTTTGACTTAAGTTCTAGAGGACAAATCATGAAAAAAAAAGAAAATGGAAACATTTTATTAAGATACTTTAGGAGGAGACAAAAAAAAAAAAAAAAGTGATGGGCAAATAAGGAGATATGTATCACATGCTTATTATATATGTGGTCAGTGACCGAACCACGTGGAGATGAGGGAGACAATTGCCCCCCCTCAAGTTTTGGAATTTTGGATGGGTTTTTAGAACTCCGAAGTGATGCAAGCATCTAATTTATCACAAAAATGAGTGTTTTTTTGTTACTTGCTAAGCTTATATTTTAAATTTGTTACAAAATAAAATTATAATTTCTTATTCTACAGAAGTCATACTAAATAAAATTATAATTTTTTACTCCACCCAACACATGTACAAAGCTCCCATTGCTTCTCATGTTTGATCATATATCTCTTGAAGCACTTAGCGGCCTTGTAATAGTGAACATATAAAGAGATGGAGAACATTCATAATATATCTATATAGTAGAAGAGAACAATCATTGAAATAACGCATTCATATTTATAAAATAAATTATCATGATAAAAACTTAAATTCATTCCCTCCCCTTCCCTCAAAAGAGAGGCTAGTTCCGCTCCCATATGTGGCTTATATGATGATTATTTTTTACCAATGAATTTATACTTTATTTGTGACAGATTTTGATCATTATTTTATTGCTTCTTTCATGAAATATTTGTATTTAAAAATATATTTTAAAAATAGTAAGAAAATTATTTTAAACGAAACCTTATTTCAAGAGTGTAGCTTTACTATTTAAAAAAATTACAATTAAGCTGTGTAGATTTCAATTAAGCTGTGTAGATTTATTTTGGATGCACAATTATAACTATTCAAATTAAAATATATTGTACTGTGTTCCATTTTTATTAAACCAGTTTAGTAAAATTATCAGTGACTTAATTTTTTTTTGTATGGCGGTTCTTTTTAGTGTTGATATATCTATATAAAATGCATTGATCAATATGAATCTTAATGCATTAGCTACATTGAACTTCTAGAATAAAGTTAAGATCATTTGAGTTCCGATTTAAGCAATCTTATAATTGAACTGAGCACCTCAAAAAGATAAATTCAATAACACCAAAGATAATTATATCAAATTTGATTGAAAATATCAAGTCATTAATTAAAAGTCCAAATAGTCTCCAAATCTTACAAGCTTAATTCAAATCACGCATCTCAATAAGACAAATGTAAATTGCCCAAGGTCACTTGATTATGAGGTTTTTAAGGGACATAAATATTGAATGAATGGTCTATGATTAAATGATTCAATATAAGTAGTATTATGGAAAGTTATGAAAATTTGGTTATATTTAATAAAATGCAACTCTAAAATTTTATAAATATAATTGATTCTCCACATGTGGAGAATCTTAGTCTGAGTTTGAAGAGAGCTTAGAATTTGAAGAACTTTAAAGCTTTACCTAGCATTCGACGATGACAATCACTATCAACCATCATTGTCATTCAATCTTCATTGCCCTATCGTTATTCTGTGACCACCACCGCTTGATTGTTATAGTCCATTTACTATTATTTCATTGTCATCATTCGATTATCATCATCCGAGTACTATTATTTGACCATCGTTCAACCACTGTCATTTAAATATCAGTATCTAATCAATAATGCTCGATTAGCATCATCTGATCGCTGTTATCATCCCTCCTTTATTTTCTAACAAGCTCAAGGACCCCACAATCAAGTTGGTGAATCTCACCCAATTTTGATCTTGGAGGATCGTATGCACAAGCTAGAGGAACTTCAAGCTCAAGTCATTTAACTTTTAGAGGAGGTTGAACAATAAGAGCACCAATAACATCACAATAGAGTTCTCCCACCATAGATATTAATATCATGCTAAGGAAAATTGCTTTAATGCTACCCATGTGATGACACGTCATTATTAAGATGCGGTTCTTTCACTACAATCTTTTCTAGATATCTCAAATATGTTTAGTTCAACCCATCCATCCAATGCTACTCAGCCAACACATAATCTTCTACACTTGATTATACAATATCTATAGTAGAACTATTCATATGTTTGCTGACCTAATTAGGTTTTCTGTAGATGAGTCATTGTCAATAATAGAATTATCAAGGTCTCCTCTCATATATCTTAGATTTGATAAAATGAGGTAGAGATACTTAAAGCATACTTTCAAATATTTTCTTCTAAAACACGCCAAATTTCATGAGTTGGTTCAAAGTTATTACATGGTATTTTTCTTGGAGGTCAGTATTTTGAATATTTTTGCTTTTTTACCGATCGAGTAAAAGTATAAATAATTGCTGATAAGTTCATTGGCACCCATGGATAACACTCCGAGAAATTCTCAAATAGATGTAAGAATTCACAATGAGAAATTTATAAGCTTTCCCAATGAAAAAAGTAAAATCATTTAAGAGAATAAAGATGCCATTCTCACCAAATTCAATATGAGTCATCTAATTATGCCCCATTAAATAAATATAAGAAAAATATTTTGATGGAGATATAATTTTGTTCACCTAAAGTGGCAAAAATATCTAAAAAGTAAACATTTCATAATAGTTTCAATAATGTTATTTTAATGTTCAAAAGGGCATTTAATTAGAAAAATATATTTTTAGTTGAAGGGAGTGATTGAATTTTTTTATTTGTCAAAGCATATTTGAGCTATTATTTACGAGAGTACTTTTTACTTTTTAGATTGCCAGCCTCAAAATAAAGAAGATCAAAAGAATCATGAAAATAATAATTATTGATACTATCATAGAAATATCTTCACAAAATTTCTATCTTAATACATAAATTACTTTTGATAATGCTAACTTTGAAGGAATATTATATCCATATCAAGATTTCCTAATCATATTAATCATACTAACTAGAATTAGAATATTTGCTATCAATAGTATACAAATTATATTTTATATATAGGTAGTTCAGTCGATATTCTTTCCCTAATTGTCTTCATAAATCTTAGATTAAACTTTATTGGGCTCCAACATTATTCTAAATTTGGGCCTCTTTTGTGGGGAATGACATTATATATATTTATTATTTTTTGGAGTCGCACTTAGATAATTGAAATATTACATTGAGATCTATACTTGAGCACAGTAGCAAAGCTAGAAAGTGTATTTAGGTGGGGGGGGGGGCTATTTTTTTTTAATTTTCCTTCAACTTCTTACATTCGGACTTGAGACCAAAATAGTTAGTTTTAAAAATGATAAAACTTTGATAGTGAATTAGTTTATTTTTTTCTTCACAAAATGACTTCCAATCATCAAATCACTTGATTACTGCTAGAACGAGTTCAATATATTAAATAAATATGTGATATTAAAAATCTCTTCGCACAAAAACAAATCATAAAATCTCTTTAAGATCGAATCAATACAAAATTAAGCTAATATCAACCAAGAAAAAAAATGTAAATGAATAGGAAATTAAATTGGTAGTGATTTGAATGGATTGTCGTCGATCTTAAATCTCTTGATTAATTGTGCACTATTTATTGGACATTTAAATGTCTTAGAGATATCATAATTCGGCGATCTTAGGCTCGTTGGATTTGTCTCGTCTAGCCGCTCAATTCGACTATAAGCATGTCATGTTTGGAAACCATTTGGTAATCAAAATTATGGTTTAAACCTTCCAAATATGCTTCCAGTCCTTGATTTGGAGTCATTTGGGTTCGAATTGAGTTGAATTTGGTGTCGTTTGGTTCGCATTTTTGAGACGTTCAATTCGATTGTAAGTTTGTTGAAATTGAAGTTCATATGATCTCTGATTTAATTTTTGAAGTTTCCAACTTTTACCCCCGGTGAATTTTCTGATGACATACCAAATCTTCTTCTATGATCTTTATTTTAATAGCTCTAAATGATTTATAGATATTATTTGAAGCAGCAGTAAAAAAACTAAAATTACGTGCGCATAAAAACACAATCCAATTAAAATTTAGATTATCACACAATGGATCAAAAATTGTCAAACAAGAATTATGAAGGTTTGCTAGTGCAAAAAAGTTTCTTATTCATTTATCATTCACATAGTAAGAACCCTAGTTGTGTTGTAGTAGGCTCTCCATGACCTTTTATGTCTTAGTAAATATTTGTCTATTCAACACAATGCACGAGACCTCATAGTGAATATAGTTGATCATATTTAGACTTCGTTTGGGATGGTTTTCTTACTGCTTCTAAAAGTAGCTTTATAGTGTAAATTTTCTTAATTTTTTAAATTTTGTATTAAAAAGCTGCTTTTAGAAGCAGTAAGAAAGTCGTCCCAAACAAAACCTTATAATGCCTAGGTGTAGCGAGGTGTTGTTGGGCTTGATTCATTACAGTGTCAATCTGATCGTGCATGACATCTTGGAATAGGGGTGTAAATGAGCAGAGCCGGCTCGAGCTCGAATCGTTTATAGGCTCGCGAGCCACGCTTATCGAGCTCATGAGTCGAGCTTGACATGAGTCGAGCTCAAACTCGAGATCAAGCTCATTTAGCTCGCGAGCAGACTTGAATAAATATTAATATTTTTAAAATAATTTTATTTTATTTATTAAATTTAAATATTAAAAAATTAATAAATGCCACCTAAGTTTTATTTAAATGTTAAATATTTCATCTTTTTTTTTTTT